TAAAGTATCTCTTATTGACAGTAAATTAAATGAGCCTGGGTGGATGGTTCAGCACAGTTGCATACAAACTATTGAAGAAAACAAAATCCCATTGAAAACCGGTTGCTGTTGAGTCAGTTCCAGCTCATGTGACCCCAAGCATGTCAGAGTAGACCTGTGCTCCACACGGTTTGCAAGGGTTGATTTCTAGAAGCGGATCACCAGGCCTTTCAGGGGCCTCTGAGTGGGTGCAAACGTCCAGCCTCTCAGTCAGTACCTGAGCACATTAACCATGACAGGGCCGTTGCATATCTCATTCTTCTCAGTAACCTCATAGCAGGTTATTGTCACTCCTCTCTTGTTTGTGGATAAACTGAGTTTCAAAAACATTAAGCAACTTGGTTAAGGCCATAGAAGTATTAAATGGCAGAGCAGAATATCAAACCTGGGTAGGTTTCCCACTTCCCTGCGCTGTTTCTTTAAGTCCATTTTCTTTATTATTATTATTATTGTTTTAAGGTAGTAAGGGCATCTTTGTATCCAGAGGCAGAACCACATTTGAATTATAGTAAGTGCCCATGCCCTGCTGGGACAGGGTGACTGAGTTACAGTCATTCCGCCATTGAAGACCTCTTGGCTCAGATCAGAAAACTTTTAAAGTCAGCATTCTTTTAACCTGTCAGATTAGTCTGATGTCATATTGCTGAGCTGAGTATTTCCCAGTTCTCAAAAATGTTAAGTAAGATCTATCACCATATGGAGTTAAAGGATAGAAACGAGGTCAGCTTTACAAAAAAAAAAAGCAGAGAAGTTTTTGGTATGAGAATGGCTGGTACTCAGAGGAGTCAGCTCAGAAATCCTGAGAGAAGTCAAATGCCGTCTCCTGGAGGAGACTGCAGAGTGGGCCGGCTGTCACTCCTCTACACCGGCTCCTCTCCCTTCCTTGTTCATGCTCACGGAGGCTGCAAGAGATGGGCCATCGCAGGTGCACGTCCTGCAGTCTCCCTCTGTCACAGAACATGCAGAGGAGAATGGTGTGAGAACCCACTTCTCCACCCAGAAGTACAGGGTTTGGTCAAAGGAAGTCCCCAGCTCCTAGGGTCTCAACTAGCTGTTTCTGTAGGAGGGACCCTAGAGCAACCCCAGGGACTGGACACGTGTGTGGCAGGTATTGTACTAAAGGGATACAAGGGCTCCAGCCAGTAAGTCTGACCCTCCACCACCAGCATCCCTAGGCTGCACCCAGTAGGGCCTTTACAACACCTGGTCTGCACTGCTAACCCTTGCTTAGCCCGTGTTCCCGGGACGCGGTGACTGTGCAGCGCTCTGGTTTCCCTCAGGGCAGCTGCCAGGGCTACATGGAAACTGCTGCAGAGAGCGGTTTGCTGGGAAGAAGGAACCACACAGAGCCTCTCCCCAAGAAGCAGCCGGGGCCTGCCCTTCATTTTGTAACAAGCCTATGACTAAGGATGGGTGAGTCTTCACCTCTCAGTGTTTCACAGGTGATGGGGAAGGGCAGGTTGATGCAGGCAGGCCAGGGGGCTGTGGGTGGTGGCAGGAGGCGTAAGGGTCCAGGAGAGAAAACCTGAGGTCCTGGAGGTTCTGGCCCCACTCAGTCTCCACCCTGACATCTCCCACACAGGCTGCAGCCTGAGCAAACGCAGGCTTGGTGTTTTGCAGGAGTGTTTGGCTTTGCAGGGTTGGTCTCCATACATGGCCAGACGCAGGTCCTTCTACTGGCCCGGGCCCTCAACCCCACACAAAATGGGCCTTGGTCAGGAGCTGACGGGAGTTTCAATCCCAGGCCTCCAGGCAAAGGTTTCCAAAGCTCTTGGCTCCAGCTGCTCTTGCCCAGGAATGCTCGGAGCACCCAGCCGCCGGATTCCCTCCCAGGCGAACCTGGGCTACTGGCTCGGGAGAACCACCTCCTTCACGCCTCCTTCTCATGTGTGCTTAGCGTGCAGACGAGATAAAAGTAAGGAGACAAAGTTGGCTCGCACACCGATCTCCTGCCACACAGCTGCATGCAATGGATATGGTTTTGCTTTTATCATTTTCAGCCAGAATTACTTTCCCTAAACAGCCACTTGGCCACACGTGCCCACACTGGCTTATTCAGTGATCACTCTACCCCATTCTCTATTATTTGGAGAAGAACTAACATCCACGATGCACAGCACAGAAAGCAAACAAACAGAGATGAGAAAAAAAGATAGCAAGTTATTAAACTAGAATGATGGTAGGCAAATCAACATGGAACCTTGCAGATGGCCTCTTACCTCCAACGCGGAGATTGAACACTTCTGGCAGGTATTGCACTAAATCAAAACCAATCCTACAGCTGTTGAATTGATTCCGACTCATAGCGACCCTGTAGGGCAGAGTAGAACTATGTAGGGTTCCCAAGGCTGCAACCTTTATGGAAATAGACTGGTAGATTTGAACCACTGACATTCTGGTTAGTAGATGAACCCTTTAACCACTAAGCCACCACTGTGGCACCTAGATATTGCCCTAAAGTGATACAATTTAATAAACTCCAGGATGGGTTTATTTTTCACAAGCTTCCAGAGGTGTCTCTTCAGAAGTCCAAACAACTGTCTGTGGTGACATAAAGCGTTGGGCTGCTAAAGCAAACGTTGACAATTCAAACCTACCAGCGGGTCCACAGGAAAATGAGGAAGCCTGCTTCAGTAAAGGTTTACGGCCTTGGAAACCCAAGAGGCAGTTCTACTCTGTCCTACAGGGTTGCTATGAGTCAGAATCAACTCAGTGACAGTGAGGTTTGGTTTAGAAAGCAAAAGCTAGAAAATTAGAACATAATAGTTGGTGCAATATGCTAATTTATGTTTAAATACTCCTTGGAAGAAAGGTTGTGCAATCTACTTCCACAGCGATACAAAAACCAAAAAACCAAACACACTGCTGTCGACTTGGACTTGACTCACAGTGACCCCTCCTGGGGTTTCCAAGGTGGTATCACTACGGGAGTAGATTGCCCAACCTTCCTTCCAAGGAGTGGCTGGTGGGTTTGAACCGCTAGCCTTCTGGTTGGCAGTCAAGTGCCTTAGGCACTACACCACCAGAGTGTGATACCACCTTGGAAACCCCAAGGAGGGGTCGCTATGAGTCGGGACTAACTCAACAGCAGTGGCTTTGGTCTTTTTAAGTGTCTACTGAGCACTCAATACATGCCAGGCACTGTGCAGAATGCCTTACATGCATCGCCTCACTGCATACTCATAAAAATCAATGAGGAAGCACTCCTCGTTTCATAGATGGGAAGACTGGGTTTCAGAAAGGTTAAGTAACTTTCTCAAGGTCACACAGCCTGAGTGTGAATGCAGCTCTTTTCTGACCCCATGAGGACCACTTTCAAGTTCTATAAAATACTACCATTTCTTCTGAATTATCAAGTGGAAAGTAACTTGTGCTGTGCAGTGTCGTATTTTAATATTGAGTCTGCTTTGTGGTTTTCTAGGACGATGTCAGTTTTGTAGAACAAACCACCTGACTGACTTAAGCAATGGGACATCCAGTTTCAAGACATGACTCTACTTCCTAAATAGGATAACAATCCCTGCCATGTCTCTCTCGTAGGGTTCTTGTGAGACTCCAATAAAACCATGAAGCTGCTGGCATAGAATAAAACATTCTATGGAGGAGTGCTGGTGTTGCTATTAAGAATGTCAATATGTATATACTATGTGTGGTGATTCTGTTAACCAGAGTAATTTATTAATTTATTAATCAAAATGCCTGCTTACCTAACCAACCTGACATCAGTAACTCATGCACACGTTACTTTGTCACCTTATCGGCCTGTGCACTGCAGACCTGCTAGCATGTTACAATTTGCTCATTAAAACCTTTTGCTCTTTCAACTTATTTCAGAGCCACCACTACTTGCTTGGCTCTGCGGTCCACGTTTATGTCCCAAGTTTCCCATGATCAGGCACAGAAACGTTAAGACGCCCGTGCAACTAAATGTTAAGATGCAGACATAAGAATTATAACGAAAGTCTCCACTAAAGGAGCTGATAAACACTCCTCTCCCCCAGGGTTGCCCTGTTACCAGAAGTTCGGCAGCATAAACCAGCAGTAGCTGGACCCGTGATGAACGGCTGGCTGATCTGCGAGCAGCTTCCAGCTCCCAACGGTGTTGTGCAGGGCATGGAAAAGACTTAAAGCCGTTCAGGGTAAGAGGATTTAAAACCCCAAGAAAGATGCAGTGTGAGCTTTTTCCGAAGTCAAGTTATGAAGAAACTAGCGGCAGAGTTTATTAACAAATGAAAGGGCCGGAGGGCTTTCATCTAAGGCATTTTAATGAAGACAGACTACACTCTAATGGTGCTATTTCACGTTTGAAAAGGCGTTTGTGGAGACTCGCTGTAGCTTGACAACTCCGCCTTCCTCCCTTATTCTACTAAGAGAAAAAAAGAAAACAAAAATAAAAAAAAAAAAAAAACCAACCCAGGGTAGCGGAAAAGCACAGTGTAATCCTTGAGGGGGGCAGGCAGGCGCTGACTGCCCTGGCCATTAGAAATCACCCTACTACAGGAAGAAACCTCATTAACCCTCTTCTCCCCCTCCCGGCTTCTGGGTGAGGATCGGCTCCTCCTTCTCCTCCTCCCCCTGGTCGGGCGACCCTTGTGCAAGATGCAAACCGCCGCCCGCTTTCCCAGCGGAGGAAGAGGCTGGAGAGGAGGGCGCAGCCCAGAGCCCAGTCAAGTCAGGCTGTCAACCCGCCGGGACCATCCCGAGCCAGGCGACCTGGACCCCGGGGCCCTCCGCGCCGGTCCAGCACCTCGGGCACCCCGTTACCTGCCCCTCTGCGGAGTTTGCACCCAGCACCCCAAGTCCTAGCCCGAGCCCCCAAGACGCCCAGAGCCCCAGCGCCCCGCGCAGGTGGCGCAAACGCCCCTGTCCGCGGGCGCCCCCTGCCGGAGCGGGAAGGCGGCGCGGAGAGCCGGGCGCAAGGCTGGGGGAAAGCTCGGCGCCGGGAGCCGCCGCGAGCGTCCCCGATGGTGCCGCCGCCTCCTCCGAGCCGGAGAGGAGCGGCCAGCGCGCAGCTGGGCAGGAGCCTGGGGCCCTTGCTGTTGCTCCTGGCGCTGGGACACACGTGGAGCTACCGAGAGGAGCCCGGGGACGGCGACAGGTAGGCGCTGCCAGCCCCGGGCGGTTAGCCCGCGCCGCGCGCTCCCCGAGCCTGCGCTGGTGCGCGCCCGGCTCGCGGGGTGCGGGCGGTTCCCTCCTCCACTCACGCCCCGCGCTCCCCGGGCCCCCACAGGGTCCGCGTCTGTCCTGGCCGGCATTGAGCTCTGCTCCCGGGTGACAGCCTCCGCGCCCCGGCCTGGGCGTCCCCATTCGCGGTCCCGGACGCAGCGAGACCCCCACCCGCTGTCCTCAGCGCCCCGCCGGCGGTCACAGCGCGCGAGCCCTGCGCCTGCAGCCCGTCCTTTCTCCCGAGCTGAGCTCGCTCTGCGACCCTCTCCTGGCCGGCCCCTGCCCCCAGTCGGGTCCTCAGACGTGCCACCAGCCGTCAAGGGTCCCCAACGCGCAGGCTGCCCGCAGCTCGCCGACTTGGAATAAACCAAATGTTCTCTCCAACTTTTTCGTAGAGAAATTTGCTCCGAAAACAAAATAGCGACGACCAAATACCCGTGTCTGAAGCCTTCGGGCGAGCTCACCACGTGTTTCAGGTAAGACTCGGGGGGCCCCGAGGCCACCGGGCGCACGGTGGCTGGACGGGACGCGGCGCCGGGAAGGGTGGGTTTGGAGACGCGCACGCGGACGGAGGGCTGAGTTTGTCCTGGGAGACGCCGAGCGCATTCTCTTCGGTGCGAACCTGAGTATGTCCTTTCTGGGCCAGAGGAGCGAACAACGGGTGTGTGCGCCCAGAGTGTGTGTTCTGAGCCCCTGGGAGTGCTTTCCGCGCCCCCGAAAGCTTGCGCGGTGGAGCCGGGCGGGGAGGAGAGGAAGGAAAGGAAAGAGGTTGAGAGTGTTTGAAGAAAAGTGAATTGGACTGTGGACGTGAACGGCGGGGCATAGCGAAGATGAATGGGTGCTTTTTGATTTGCGTTCTGTTTAGAAAATACGGAGTCAACAAAAAGGAAATACTTGGCACTTGGCTCTCTCTTGACCTTCTCGTGCTGGGACGGAGCGTATCACTCTCACGTCCTCAGTGGGTAGGTGATCCGTTGCGTCGAAGGAAAACACAAAACGTCACGATTGTTGAGGCACTGGGCGGGGAACACTCTTTCTGAAAATGTGATCCTTAAGCCACTTACTCCAGTCACCTGGGCCCTTGTGAGAAATAAGCCGGGACGGGCTCGGACGTCGGGGCTTGAAAACGGCTGCCCGGCTGGGTCTTGTGCAGCAGAAGAGAATCAGTGTTCTGGACTCGCAGCCTTCCGGCGGTGAGAGGGGCTTCTTTCTTTCTTTTATTTTTTTAACCATTGAGTTCTGGCTTCTGTTGTAGTGCTTTCACTAGGTAGAAGAGACATGTGTCCATAAATATTTATTAGCTGTCTGCTGTTTAAAGGGACTGTGTAAAGTACAGGAGCACTGGTGGTACAGTGGTTAAAGCACTGTAGCACTGAGCTGCTAACCAAAAGGTTGGTGGTTTGAACCCACCAGCTGCTCCATGAAAGGAAGATGTGGCAATCTGCTTGTGTAAAGATTGACAGCCTTGGAAAACCTGTGGGGCATTTCTACTCTGCCCTATAGGGTTGCCATGAGTTGGAGTTGACTCAATGGCACAGGTTTGTGTGTGTGTGTGTGTGTGTGTGCGCGCAAGCAAGGTCCTGGGATCACACACATACAAATCTCTGTGAGACAGAGGTCTCTGAGAATCTTAGGGTGTCAGAGTAAATATTGGCTACTATTGGCTACTACAAGCTAACAAAGCAGCCCCATATAGTGTACTTGAACAGAAAGTTAACTTTCACTCTTAACAATGTTGTGGTACATGAACCAATCAGAACCAGCTGTGTGTAACTGTTTCCTGTACCCAAAGCTTCAGATGTAAGGGTTCTGGGGCTGAGTACTTTCAAGGTCTGATGATGCCCACAGTGATATTATGTAACCATGCTTCTGAGTCTGTTGGCAAAGGGAAGGAAAGGCTGTGATCCCTTATGTGAATCAACAGTTATTGCTTGGGTGTGGGAAGGGCTGCTGTCTGTGGGCACAGGAGAGGTGAATACTCAGCAGATACAGGAGGTTAGTCGGGGAGCCTGGGTGCTTCGCCATCAGCTGCTACCTGAAAGGCTTATAGCTCTAACCCATCCAGTGGTGCTGCAGAAGAAAGACATGGCAATCTCCGGTGAAGATTACAGCCAAGGAAACCCAAAGGGGCTGTTCTGCTCTGTAACACATGGGGTTGCCATGAGTTGGGGCCCAACTCGATGACAGCTAACAACAACAGAGGAGAAGGGAGTGTGTTGAACTGGCAGGTAAAGACTTTAAGAGGTTAATTGAGTAGCCAAGGTCACCCAGTTGGTAAAACGACCAGGATTGCTTGCCTGGTTCAGCCTTGTGTTCTATCCTCTTGACCACAGTATTTCTTAGGATGCATTGTTCTCCAATCACCGCAGTATAAAGCCTCTAATTTAACATGGAACACGCCCCTGATATAGTTTGCTTCTTTGTGCAGTCCCTGAAGGTCAGTCAGACTCCACATAAATCCGTGACAGTTACCCAATGCATGTCTGATTTTCAGAGACCCTGGCTGCCAGATTATTGTTCTAAGCTGATTTCATTTGTTATGCTGTGTTACTGACATCTTTTCCATATTGTTTAAAGCAGTGTGTTGTTTCTTTTATACCAAGAATCTCAGCAAGTGACAATAGCAGTGTCTTGGTGTGTGTTTTCTACACATTAACAGCTACCCAGAGAGACAACCTATTGGATGTAGCAAAAAAAGGATGTTTTATATCAAGGGAAGGAGCAAAGAATTTTGATTTTGGGAATGGAAGAAATGGGAGAGGATTATTTTCAACTGGACAAAGTGCTGATGGTCCTTGTGCATATTAAAAGTTCTGTGTTTTTGCTTTTAGATTTAAGTTACTCCTTTACAGAAGTCAAGAGCTCCATGTGTGCTGCTTCTTTGTTACTGATTTCTTGAAGACATCATCAGTTGTCAGTTGCTGCCTCCATGTTTGCTTTTGAACCCCAAGAATGGAGGAATCATGTGTGTCCCTTGGTTTGTGAATTTACAAATGACCCTGACTCTTGCTACTCAAAGTGTGGTCTAGAGACCGGCAGCCCGGGCATCAGTGGGAACTTGGTAGAACCTCAGGGCCCTCCCAGACCTCCTAAATCAGATTCTGCCTTTGAACAGATGTGCATTAAAGCTTGAGAAGCATGGTGTAGAGACCAGTGTCCTGACCCCTGGGGCATGGTGCAAACCCATTTGGACGGATCTTCAGAGGAGAGTGGAGGCCATTCACAGATGAGTGAATAGTTAGCTCCTCTGCATTACCAACCTGAAGCTAGACAAAGCACCAGCCTTCAGGGAAACCAGCCCCTTTAGCAAGGGTCACCCTTCAGTAAGCTGTAAGGAAGAAGGTGGGCTGTGTAGGAGGAATGCACCTGACTTGGGAGAGCCTACTCTCTATCTTTGGGGACAGTTTTCAGCACAAGTGGAAGACTTCTGGAAGTTGCTTTGACTCGTTGAAAAGCGTTTTATGAAACTCAGAGGAATTAAGTAACTTGCCCAAGGTTGCAAAGCTAATAAGTCAAGCAAATGAGCCAAGATTGAAACCCAGGATGAAATACTGAGAGGAGTTGCTAGATGTGAGAAACAAATCTAGTATATCACTGTAGCCAAAAGTACACGGAGACCTAAGGGATTTGCGAAAGCGAAGATGGACTTGTATTCTTTGTCCTGTGCCCCTCATCCCCCAACACCACCTTTTTGCACTTGTATTTTTCTTGGTTTCATTTAAGCAGCACCTTTCTAGTTTTAAGGAACTCTGGTAGGGTTGTGGTTAAGGCATTTGGCTGCTAACTGAAAGTTCTGTAGTTCAAACCCACAAGCTGCTCCACAGAAGAGAGTTGAGGCAGTCTGCTTCCGTAAAGATTTACAGCCTTGGAAACCCAATGGGGCTTGTTAAGAGTTGGAATTGACTCAATGGCAGTCAGTTTGATTTTAGGTTGGTTTTTACTTTTAGCCTTTTGTATTGTATACTAAATAATAATGACAAGTTGAGGGCTGGCTATGTATTCAGCACTCCTCTGTGCAGTTTACAAACATTATTTGTGATCCTTGGAGCCATTTCCATGTGGGGGGTGTGTATTATCTCAGTTTTACAGAGAAGGGAACTGAAACTCAGAAGAATTAAGTAACTTGCCCAAGGTTGCAAAGCTAGTAGGTCAGGCAAATGAGCCAAGATTGAAACCCGGGTTCCTCTGACTTTAAAGCCTGGGCCCTTCATCATTCCAGAGATATCTATAGATGAAAGTGGATTTTCCAGACCTTGTCATCTAAGTAAGGAAGAAGACTATAAATTCAGTTGGTTATAAACTCAAAAGACACAGTTACATAGAAAACACCAGGTATACCCCACCACAGTGGTCTTTCTGGATTGGCATTTCCTTTAAGTTCTCTTGTAGACAACTGACTGTATTATATATAAAAAAATCTTTCACACACGTTCCTCTGAATCACAGGGACATAGATGGACTACATCTTGGCAGACTCTCTACCTGAATACATCGTGCTGAGTACCCAAAGTTTAATAAACCCTTGTTGAATGAATGCCAAGGGCAGTTCACAGAGCTTGGAGAATACATGTTTGCTCCACCTTTAATCTGACATAGAGCATATACTGTACTAGCAGGAGTTAAGGTATCAGAGTTGGTGTGTGGTTTATCTGGACTGCAAGTTAATTACAGCCAAATGAAGCATAAAAAGTTAGCATGGCATTACCCCTCTTGTGGCTATTAATGTTCTTCCTATAAGTTGAGTTTTCTTCTTTCCCAAACCATGTCATTTGAACAAAAGGTTTGTAGTTACAACTTGAAGGATGTAATCAATGTGACTTAATTGTACATTAGAAATGGTTGAGTTGGCGTATATTTTTGTTATGTCTGTATTCACCACAATCAAAAGGTTTGTGTTTATTTTACCTTTCTGTTATTGGGTTTTATATCAACAAAATGGCATGTTAAAGGCTTTTTATTAAATAAGGATCAAGGAATATTCTTGTTTTATAAAGAATAAAATAAAATAGTTTTTATTGGGTTAGGCCATGGCCAACAAACATCCTGATTAATTTCTTTGATCCATTAATCAATTACAGATTTACTGAATATCTGTTAGGAACTTAATAGTTGTAGAGAGTATTTCTGTATAGAAGATCCAATATAGCCCTTGGTCTTAGATACATTACTGACTTAATTTTAGATCAAGGCCTTTGAAAATGTAAGCAATACACAGTTGTATATGATTGAGTTCAAAGTCATGGAGTCATACTGTCTATGATAAGGAAGAGTTTAGAAGCAGATGGGGATGGCTTTATGGGAGAGAGAAGACTTAACCTTGTTCTTCAAGGCAGTTCTTTAACTTAGGGTGTGTTAGGTGTTTTTCTAAATTGCATTTGCTCTGATTTTCGGCAAAAGACAAGACTGAGTCTGAGAACACACTCAGTGCTATCGCTGTCCTGCCTGCCCGTCCCCCGACCATGCCCTTATCCTTGTA